ACGGCTCCAAAACATCCCCAACGGCTATATACAATATCAAACACATTCCAAGCTATAAATACAAGCTAAGGACACTTGAAGAATAGAGAGAACGACTATCCAAGCAATCAAACACAAGAGAAGAGTTTTTCATTCTTATTTCATCTTTCTCTTTGTAAATATTTTGTTCTTGTGAGCTCAATCTTGTAAACACCTACCTTAGAGAGGTTTTCTTGTTTACTTATTTTATCATTTTGTAAAGGGGAAAGGTTCTAGCTTATCATGTGTAAAAGCTAGGGAAAGGTTCTAGTTTAGCTCGGAAAAACTAGGGAGTTGTAAGGTTATCTCTTTGTCCTCAAAAGAAAGAACAAATTAGTGAATTTGTTGGAAAATCCTTGGTGAGAAGCTAAGGTAGTGGACGTAGACTTTGGTTTAGAAAGTCAAACCACTCTAAATCGCTGTGCAATTTTCTATCTTTCAATCTCCTTACTCCCTAAACTCAAAAACCGTTCCGATCCCTCTTTGCAAACCGTTTCGGTTGTCGAATCGAACTTCCGAAAATCCCAACAATAACAAACATGATCTCAAGTTAACACATATAAATACACTCATCAAAATGGTCACAATGCCCTCAAAGACATGGCACACTTCTAGGAGTGCAAAAACAAATAATCATTACATAACAAATGTGAAAGATTAATTTATGACTTTAATAATGCAATCCATAATTGATATATCAGATATAAACTCATGCAAATACAATAAACAAAATAAGCTTCAAAAAGGTTAAAGAGATAATTAAGCATATTATATACAAAAATATTTAGAATTAACTTGAATATTAAAGTAAAAACATTAAAATAGATACAAGTATACATTCAAATAGTTTCATAAGTTCTAATTTAAGCTTATTTACTTTCGAAAGCTTAATTCAAAAGAGGAGATATGCTGTGAAATAATGTTAATAAACAAAGTGACCGATAAAAAATGTAATAGGTCAAAAGCGGAACATAAAATGTTATAATATTAAATCGGAAAAGTTATCAATATAATAACAAAATAGGTTGCACCTAAAATGCTATAAATGGTAAGAAAATAAGTTATAAACGTTAAAAGTTATGAATATTATTAACATTTTAGGTTGCACCCAAAATGTTATCAGGTTTAAGCTGATGGGGCATTAGATATTCTCACAATAAGAAAATAAGTAAAATCTGAAAATGTTATGAATATATATATAAGAAATACGATTGCGCCCAAAAATTTTATGGTTCATTAAGGAATAGGTTGCGATATGAAATGTTAATATTTTTATTAATAAAATGGGTTGCGTCCAAGAATGTCATGGTTCACTAAGAAATATGTTGCGATCTGTAATGTTAATATTTATATTGATAAAATGAGTTGCTCTCAAGAATGTCATGGTTCACTAAAAAATAAGTTACGATCTTGAACGTTAATATTTTTACCAATAAAATGGGTTGTGCAAAAAATGTCATGATTCACTAAGAAATAAGTTACAATATGGGATGTTAATATTTTTATTGATAAAAATGGGTTGCGCCCAAGAATTTCATGGTTCACTAATAAATAAGTTATAATCAGGAATGTTAATATTTTTATTAATAAAATGGGTTGCGTCAAAAAATGTCATGATTCACTAAGAAATAAGTTGCGATATGAAATGCTAATATTTTTAATAATAAAATGGGTTGCGCCAAAAAAATTATGGTTCACTAAAAAATAGGTTGTGATACGTAATGTTAATATTTTTATTAATAAATGAGTTACCTCCAAGATTGTCATGATTTATTAAGAAATAGGTTGCGATATGGGATGCTAATATATTTATTAATAAAATGGGTTGTGTGTAAGAATGTCATGACTCACTAAGAAATAAATTGTGATTTTGATTGTTAATATTTTATTATAAAACTTCAAAAGTATGGATATTTTTTTTTACAATTATCGATATTTTCTAATTAAAAATATATATAAAATTGAGAAGGTTGCAAAGTATCGATATTTTCCCCCAAAAATATAGATACTTTTAAATTCAAAAGTTAAAATATTATTTTCCATGTTTTTTAATTTAGAAGTATTAATACTTGTGGAAAAGTATTCATACTTTGCAGCTTTCTCATTTTTCATGTTTTTTTAAATTTGAAAGTATTTCTTAATAAACCATGACATTCTTGGGCATAACTCATTTTACTAATAAAAATATTAACATTTAATATCACAATTTGTTTGAATCATGACATTCTTAGGTGTTATTCATTTTATTAATAAAAATAATAACATTTCATATCGCAACATAATTCTTAGTGAACCATGACATTTTAGGTCTAAGGTTATATTATTATCGTGTGAATGTCTAAGGTGTCATCAGTTTAAACTCCGATAATATTTTAGACGCAACCTAAAATGTTACTACATATAACATTATAGTAAAACATGTTATGTTACTCCATTCATAATGTTATACAAGGTAAGAAAATAAGTTATAAATGACAAATGTTATGAATACTATTAACATTTTAGGTTGCACGAAAATGTTATCAGAGTTTAAGTTAATGAAACCTTGAATTTTCTCATGATAAGAAAATAAATTAAAATTTGAAAACATTATGAACATATATAAAAAATACGGTTCACACAATAATGTCATGGTTCACTAAGAAATGAGGTTGTAATTTGTAATCTTAATATTTTTAATAATAAAATAGGTTGCGCCTAAAATGTTTTATTAGAGTTTAAGCTGATGGAGCATTAGATTTTTCCACAATAAGAAAATAAGTTAAAAGCTGAAAATGTTATGAATATGTATAATAAGTACGTTTGCGCCCAATAATATCATGGTTTGCTAAGAAATAGGTTGCGATTTGTAATGTTAATATTTTATTAATAAAATAAGTTGTGCGTAAGAATGTCATGGTTCACTGATAAAGCATATTGCAATACCAAACATTGCAATCTGGAAACCAGGTTTGTTTTAATTTTTTATAATATACACGATTTCAGCCTATAACTTAACCAGTTAACGTTACAACAAGGCGCAACCTATAATGTTATACAGGAAACTAAGTTTGTAATAATTTTTCATAATATACACGATTTCAACCTATAACTTAACCAGTTAACATAATACTAAGACACAACCGGTAATATTACTCATGCAACCATATTTTTGAATAGTTTATAATAATACTTTTAACATTTTAGGTTGCACATTTTAGGTTGCATGAAAATATCATCAGAATTTAAGTTAACGAAGCCTTAAATTTTCCCATTATAAGAAAATAAGTTTAAAACTGAAAACATTATAAACATATATAAGAAATACAGTTGCACACAATAATGTCATTGTTCACTAAGAAAAGAGGTTGTAATTTGCAATCTTAATATTTTTAATAATAAAATGGGTTGCACCTAAAATGTGATTAGAGTTTAAGCTGATAAAGCCTTGGATTTTTTCACAATAAGAAAAATAAGTTAAAAGCTAAAAATGTTATGAATATGTATAATAAGTATGTTTGTGCTCAATAATGTCATGATTTACTAAGAAATAGGTTGCAATTTGTAATGTTAATATTTTTATTAATAAAATAGGTTGCACACAAGAATGTCATGGTTAACTAAGAAAGCATGTTGCAGTACTAAAACCTTGCAATCTATACCTTAAAAAGGCTTAGGGGGTCACATTTGTCCATATAGTAAACTCAATTTATCATTTTCGCTCCTATCATATTTTCGCATCAATTTAGCCCTCAATGTTGTCTAATTACATCATTATATACCTTACCCCATAAATTATAAACTTTAAGTAAGAGTTTAAGGTTTAAAGGTCACGGAGTTATGTTTTAGGGTTCAAAATTAAGAGTAGATATAGAATGATGTAATTGAATAATTTCAATGGCTAAATTGATGCAAAAATACAATAAAAGCGAAAGTGATAAATTGAGTCTACTATATCACCTTTTGCCTTTTAAAAAATACTAGGAAAACTTAAGAATACATCATTCATTGATATGCTAAGTATTTGTTCAATTTTTTAACTGAAGTTACATACTAACGATAATAAATATGATTTACCTCCACAAAAAATAGCAAACAACACATAATATATAATAATATTAGCATACTAGATTTTTACTTCTCACTTAGTTTGAGTTTACGATATTCCTCAAATTTGTCGATTATTAATTTTTTATTTATTTATTTTTTCATTCAAATAAACCTACCATTCTATGGACTCAAAAAAGTATAAAATGAACATATTTTAAGCTTGAGTGAAATGTATTAGCACTAATGCAACGAATCTTATCAAAACTTTGTAATTAAATATGTTGGATGAAAATAATATTACAAGGAATGATCTTAAAAATGATCGTTTTATGCCTTTATTTCAATTAAAAAACAATATCCGAAGTTTATCCTATTAAGCCTTTCAACATAATATAGATGAATGTATTTTAATATTTATTTTACTGTTATTTAGTTCAGGCATTTAATTTTAAATTTATTATATCTATTCAATTGATAAAACAATGGCTTATACTCCAAATTCCAAACCGGAATGTGGAGCTATTTCTCATCGAATTTCCCTCTTCTTTCCTGTAATCCGCCAAAAGCAAATCAAATCTGTTTCAAAAAGCTCGAACCCGCCGAATTTAAAAATTCTAAAACACTCAGAAAGCACATCCGTGTCAGATATCGTGAGATTACTATCGACCGTCGATGATAGTTCTATCAACGGTTTATATAATTCAATAAACATAACACGGATAGATACTCTCAAGGTCCCAAAGTCCGCGCATAAAACGTTGGACCCCTGTTAGTCGTCGATTAACAAGAAATCAACGGTGTACATGCTCCTCATTATTTTCACGCGGATCGATACTATTACTCGGTTCATAAACATTTTAACCGTGCGACTCGGATTAATCCCCGCCAAACCTTTTCAAAAACCAGAAGAACCAATCATTCGCTCTATAAATAACATCACAGTCCAAGTTGTTCTCACACTTGCAAACCATTCTTGTCCTTCCTTCTCAAATCTAAAACTTTTCTCTAGTTTTCTGAAGCCTTCATTTTCAATGTCGGGAAGAGGAAAGGGGGGAAAGGGGCTCGGAAAGGGAGGAGCCAAGAGGCATAGGAAGGTCTTGAGAGATAACATTCAGGGCATTACTAAGCCCGCTATTCGTCGTTTGGCTCGCAGAGGAGGAGTAAAGAGAATCAGCGGCCTGATCTATGAAGAAACCAGAGGTGTATTGAAGATCTTCTTGGAGAACGTGATTCGTGATGCTGTGACCTACACTGAGCACGCAAGAAGGAAGACTGTTACCGCCATGGATGTTGTTTATGCCTTGAAAAGGCAAGGCAGGACTCTCTATGGTTTTGGAGGTTAAACTTAGCAATCTTAATAATAGATTTAGCTTTTGGAATGTTAAGTTTATGACTGTAGAATTATGGATCTTGGCTATAGATCTTTTCTTTTATGTTGCTGATGCTGTTGTAATATTTGATATTTCTAATATTGTCAATGGATTTAGTTCAACAATGTTTTCGCGTTTATCTTTTACTAACCGTATTAATGACATTTTTATACAACTGATTTACCAATTTCGCTTATCCGTCTGAGTTCGAAAAATTGGAATATTCGCATTGCCTACTAAATGCTCGTTAATTTCTTTTCGGTTGGAAAATTAGCGTGGCATTTAGCTAGTGGCTCGTGGATGGATTTGGACTAATAGAATTGAATCAATTTCAAACGTTTTGTTTTCCATTCCTTTATGTTCATTAAGGATTTGTTTATACGATGGATTATAAATTGACTAAAATCTCATTTGAGATTAATTCCTCTGCAGCCCTGATTAATGTGGGGGAGGGGGGTGTTAGCAAAGGCAGAGTCCTAGACATCTTCATTTTCACTATGAAGATTATCAAATTTTAGTTTCCTTTAATGAAGATTTTTTTAGCAAGCGAAGTGGTTTTTGTTACTAACAGTTTTCGTAAGTTCAGTCGGAATTAATTTATGACATGTGAATCTGTGCATACATATGATATTTTTAGAGAGAATAATACCTTTTTTAAGGTTATAGATATTTGCATAATAAAGATTGAAATGTTCAATGGATTGTTTGAACACTTAAAATGTGACATGTTTCATATTTTTAAATTCATTTATGTTTTTAAAAAAAACAATAGATATGCAATTATTCTATTTAGGAACTACATACATCTACCCCTAGAACTAGAAGAATGCTAATGGTTGCAGGCAATCTTCGTTGTACGTAGCTTATGAGTCCCGCCATCACCTTTGAGCTTCAATGATCTCGGCCGGCCTCCCATTTGATTTGTACTCTCAAACGAACTTTTATTTAGTAATTTATGTTTAATATATCTTTAATATAAATTTGTGTTCGTTCCCAAGCTTTGTATCACATAATACAATCCATATGCAGAGGCCAGGCGAAACTATTATACGACTACTTGTACTGCAGTGTGAACTGTATTTTGGTTTTAAGTGCTTCTGAAATGAGGAAAGTGGAAAATAAGTACAATGATCGTTATTGTAAAAGTTGAAAATAAATATGCTAATTCAGTAAAATGATAGTTGTTGTAATTGCTGAAAATAAATCCGTTAATTGTATGGAGTGGAAATTTGATTGAAAATTGTTAAGGATACATGATTTTGTGTTAGGGGATGAATTTAAAAATTACAGGGGTTAAAATAGATTTTAAATAAAAAATATATAAAAAATTTAAAATATATGATAATTTAAATTTTTAGGTGGACAACCGTTATTTCTCGTCCTCTCGGTCCATCTATAATAATATTGATATAAAGGTTAATTCGACCTATTTATTATTTTATTATAATTTCATTTAAATTAATTTAAATAATAAAATATTTTAAATTAAATAATGATAAAATTGACGAATATACTGCATTATTTATTTACATCACTAAATAAAAATGATTTGCTCTTTGTTTTTCTATTAACGGACTCTTTTTAGAGTACTAAAAATCGAAATGCACTTGCAGCTATAATGAGATGCCTAAAAATTAAAACGCAAGAAATTCTCAAATTGTACATTTCAAAATTCAGTGGCTTTATTTGATTACACGTAGTCCATTGTGTTGATCATTAATTGCTTTTCATTGCCGGATGACCGTATAAACATAGAGAAGGAAAATGTCACAAAATGAAACCCACACCACACGTGGAAAAGTTTTGAACGTTACAGCACGACATTAAACTGCTTATCATCAGAGCTCGTAGTTTCGCTCCATTATTAAAAAAAATATATATGATATTATTGGGTGAGCTTTTATGAAATTCCGTTCCTTGCTTTCCTTACGGTTTAGGCCAAAACGGATATTTATCGAAGAAAATACCAGAAACAAAAAGCTCTTCCTTGCTCTTTATTGGATCAAATTCAAATTCGATTTGAAATCCCTCTCTGTGGAATGATAGATTTTAGTTTTCTTCTTGTCTTGTTGAGATCTTAACATAAGAAGAAGAAGAAATGCAACAACAAGACGCTTCCTCAAGGCCTCAAAGCTCCGCTTATCTCTACGCGCTCTCCCTAGAAATCCAGAAAAAGCTTCAGCGGGTTCGTTTTCTGTTTTATCTCTTCATCTTTTTGGTTCTGGATATAATGGAACGTAAAGCGGAATTTAGTTTAGATCTTTCATTTTCCTTTCCAATTCTCTCTTTTAATTTGTTTTCTTTATGCTTAAAATAGAGAGAAAGCGTATATTAGGTTAACATTCTGGACTCTTGAAAAACTTATATTATTTTTTCTAAGTTGATCATAAGTACTGCGTTTAAGAGTTTCTTGATCTATGTATATTCAAATTCACTGCAGGCATTAGCGTCTCCATCTCAGAGACGCAATTTATTACAAGAATTATTCGCCGATATAGCTTTGGAAGTCGATGATCGAGCCAAAGGTTAGCTAAGATTCATTAACTCGTTTAATTCTTTTTGGCGTTTCCATATTGAGAATTGCGTCCACCAAATAGTTCATTTTCAAGTTGTCCTGCCTTTATATTTAATTTTAGGATATCTCATAATGTTTGCTTTGTATGGATTTTTAAAACAGGTATAATTCTAAGTAGACAAGAAGGTGCAATATCTTCTGCAGAGTACGGTGTTAATGGTCGATTGTGCTTTTATGATGTGCTCGCGGATTTTTATGTTCGAGTGCCTGAGAGAGGAAAGCCGATCCTTGATTTGATTGTGCAACTATGGAGCCAGTCATTTGCATCTCACATTTTCTTCCTTCTATTCCATAAATGGGCAAGCAAGCTTGTGATTCGTTCATAGTTCTTTTTTGCGTTTCATCATGGAATTTCTCCTGTGAACTTAGTTTTTCTCCTGATAAAAGCTGTTCACTGGCATCATAGACTAGGATTTGAGACTTGTGTCACCTACTCCCTTCCCCCAAATTTGTAATGATACAGAAGGATATGGAATTCAGGCTAGCTTTCAGGAATTACAATCTAATTACTCAATCAATTGAACTCAAATTTCTTGGCTTATTGGAGACTATTCTGCTTTTATGATGGTAGTTTAATGAGAATATAAGTTGTTTAGATGTTGCTGCTGCTTAGTTTTGGTGCTATCAACTTTGTGGATGGTTGGTGGCTAGGCCAGGTATAATTGAGTTTTCCTAACCAGATAAAGTAATAACTCAAAATAAAGATGTGACAAGTTACCAAACTAATTTATTTTTGCCTGAAAAATCCACATTATAGTGTAGTTCTTACGGTCTCCAATTATAGTTGGGGTTTTGATGTACTCCAAGTATGGAAGTCTATGTATCAAGAGTTCTGTGGCTTAAAATTACCACAAAAGATGTAGTTATGTCATATTTTTATATATCATGAAGTAGTGCTAGGTAGTAATAATTTTTGCTTCTACTAGTAACTGGTTATTACTCATTTTTATAATTGCTGTTTTGTTTTCCATTTATTTCTTCAATTAAGATATCATAACATTCTTGACCGAGCAAATGTCGTTTAAAATCAGTGAATGATTTTTTGGTTCTCTTTTGATGAGGTTCTTTACATTGAACAATATATTTCTTTCTACAGTTATTTGAAGTTCAACTGGATAATTCAGACATACAACAACGATATTCCTCTGCACTTGTTGAGGGTGCAACAAATGTTTTCTGGTATGAATACAAATTGGTATTGCTTGAGTATGATTTTTGTTATGTTGCCAAATGCCAATACCTTTAGAAGTTGGATGATGATGATCACGCTTGTTGAAAAAGTGGCATCACTTACAAGGCGTTGAGGATTTTTGTGCTTGCATGCAGGATGGATGTGCAATCCAATACAAGGCGTTTTCAATCTCTCTTTCAGGTAAAACCTAAAAGAAACATATAGCTCTTTAAGTGCATGGTTCTGCTCATTTTTTATTTTGGAGAATCCATCTATCGACACTTTTCTTCTTTTATGGACTTAGTACCTTCTTGACGAAGTAGCATTGGAGTCCGCACGGTTAAATAAAATTCCAGTACAGGTCAACTATTTTTTCTCTCTTGTTTGGTATATCTGAAAGAAGATAATGCCAAGTTCTGGATCTTTGTATACTTGCTGTTTTCTGATCAAGATTCCTTAGTGACATTTATCTTCTAAAACTGACTCTAGAATTTGTGATTTTTCAGGCCCAGCGAGATCTATACATTTTACTTTCAAGGTTCATATTATTTTACAACTCAGGTTGGATTCCCCCCCTTTGGAACCTTTATTTTGAACCTTGATTTTGAAATATAATTTGCATAGTGATTTTCCTTGTGACATGTTATTCTATGCAGTTGACAATTGAAAGCATTGTTAAGCAATGCCCTGCTTTTCCAAATGCTTTCCTGGTTGGTGGACCAGCAGATATAGTTGTTATTGAACTAACCGACCAGGTAATTTCATATTTCCATGATTGCATGGCATATGTTTAATGATCCTGTTTAACATTATCACCTTAATTGAAAGCCATTGCAACGATCAACATGTTCACATTTTGGAAAATTTTCTTTTGCCAGCTTCAAAAATTAAAGGTGGAGCCAGTCCTACTGCATTATTTTTCACAGATTAAGGTTCTCCAAGGTATTAATTATTACCATTGACTTCTTCTAAGATTATGGGGTAACTGAATACACAAATATGACCTTAATTTTTAATTTCTGCAGGCCTGGAACTGAGAATGACCACAAGTACAAGGCTGAAAACCTGTCTGTATAGCTTTACTTCTCCTGGTGGTCCGATGTATCCTACAAGGGCTGTCCATCATGCAGCTTGGGGTGCCTTAGATTTCCTTTTCCCTGTAAGTACCCTTTTGAACTGCTCTTTACAGCGACTTATCTTTCTGAAAGAAAACAAACCAAACATTGCTCTACATCTTCTCAAATAGAGTTTGTCAGGACGAATGAATGAACTGTGTTAATCAGACTTTATTAACTAAGCTAACCCTGACCTTAATAGTATGCTGGACAGGAATAACCCATAAATGATCTAAGTACCCAATAGCATCAAAGTTGCTCTGATGCATATTTATAAGCTGTTCTTGTTTACATGTATCTAGAATCTTAGACTCTTACAAGATGCTTTGATCGGGAATATGATTTTTGTTTGTCATCTGCCTACTTGGGCATATCTAGGGATGGCAAGAGCAATGGGGCGGGGTGGTTTTTTTGTCATGTTAATATGATTTTTATGCCTACTACTTTTGAACTCAACCGTTAAAGAAAAATCCTCAACTCCCAACTGACCCGTCCAAAAATATTATATGTATAATTTTTATATTATTAATTATTACAAGAATAAACTGACTTGACGTGAACTTGAAAATTTTAATTGAAAACTAACTCCACACCACATTCACCCTTGATTTTCAAATCTGTCAAAGAATAAATGAAAAACAGTACTTCTTCGTTTGAGCACATTAAAAAATCATAGGCTCTTATTCGACTGAAAGATTAGGCTTGTACTTAAGCAGATTTGAAAACATTAAGCCCTTATTTGACCTTTTTAAAATGTTAGAAATTTATGGGAACAGCCCTTAACAGGTTAGAAGTTTATTTGAGTACAGAGCCCCTGTAAGATCAGGTTAGGTTGCAGCTTGACAGGTTCAGTTAGATTAGTCTATGGTATGCGTCAATGATAGCAGAAAATGTTTCTTTTTAGGCATATCACGACTGTTATTGTTATTTTGCAGGTAGGACGTTACCCTCGACATCTAATAAGTTTGTTCTTTAGACTTTTATATCCCTGGTATTGGCCATCTTCATTTTGGAACTTTATAGTGTCGTTTTTAAAGGCCGTCTTCTATTCCTTGTTGGGGTTTATCTATTCTAGGTGGGAGAAGCTTAGAGGGCCCAGAACGGCTTAATCCATCCCTTTCCTTTCTAATATTTCAAAGGTTGATGCAATAAGTTATGCCTTCAACTCTAGGTTGTACAATTACATGTGTTGAGTGTGAGTCCTGGTTCTCCTGTATAGAAAGTGTTTTTTTTTATGAGCATCTGTTCTAATTAATTTTAATGTTTCCAAAAAGACTGAATTCGTATAAACATCATTAGTTACATGAATTATCCCAGGTTTATCGAAAAAAGAATCATTGATTTTTGCACAAACAAGCGACCGCAGCTGTTAAGGAAATTGTTATTAATTGTTATACCTTAAGATTTTGAGTTTGAACACCGCATATGTAGGGATATAAATGTTCATTGTTAAATAGTTGAGATTCTTTAAACAGATACTACATGAATTATCCCAGATTTATCGAAAAAAGAATCATAGACTTTTTTATTAGTATCAAGAGAGGGCTAAACCGAACTTGGACTTAGCTGCCTAGAATCCTTGAGTAGAAATTTCATGGAATGGTTTTTCTTGACCATTAGACGATTAATAGAGATTTAAATACGTCAACATTTTTACTAATCTCTTCGTTCAGTATGTACACTTAAGGAGAGACCAATTTCAGTTCAATACAAGATTTGACATGAAACTGAATTCAATACAATCAGTTCATGAGTTCATCCACTGAAATTCAATGCCCCATAGGATATTGTTTCCGGAAAAATTCCTATTTAAAGATTAAACTGAATATATTGTTGCCAAATTGGAAAGAAAAGCCTTCTTCTGAAGATAATAAACACAAGATCGCAGAGAATGAAACGGTTCAACATCACACCATATAGAACTAAAATTGGTAACAGGGCTGAAACTGCTAGGAGTTAAAGAATCGTCTTGTATTCTTCGAACCAGAAACAATTATAAAAAAAGGACTTTAAAGTTAAAATACTTTTTAATTTATGTTGAAAAGCAAGTCATACAACAAATTTTATAACTTAAATTATTTTGCAAAACAAAATTATACATTTATATCAAAGACTACTTAAAATAAATATTTTATTTATTAAAAACACTTGAAATTTAAATCAAACAACTTAAAAATTTGCACCTTTCAAAAATAACGAGAACAGACCCTTAATTAACCAATTGAATGAATTAACACAACATTTCTTGAAATGCACTTTTAAATTGGTAACATAGAAGTGCCTACTCATATAAACTAAAATGGTTAGAATCCAATAATCTTTAGGGGATATCAATTAAGCAGAACTCTTCACTGTCGATTTTCTAAACTTGAATCAGAGTAAGTAGTAATTCTTCGTGTTGAATTAAAGCTATTTGCTCCGAGCAATAGCATTGCAACTCACAGAATGAAAAAAATGTCATGAAAGTTCCCACCATTTAAATCTTAGCTCTTCTTGAAGTATATTCAAGCCAACTACAAAAATAAACGGGTTCCAGTTTTTAACACCCATTTTTCAAACTCTTCGACTTCCTCAAACCTAGACATATGCATAGAGGAAGCTACACTTCATTCATTTTCTATAAAAAGTGTATGAAAAACTTGAGTATCCTAGTGTACCATCAAATTTCTATAACCATTTCAACTCAAAAACAAGCTCCTATAAGCAAAAGCAGTCAACAGCCTTGCTCCACCAAGAAATCAACTGGTTGAACTGAAGAAAGATGCAACACCGATCGGCTACAATAAGCCACACCAGCAGATTTCATAGATTATGGGGGAAAGAGTTAACAGCTTAGCAATAATAGAGTGAAGACTAAATAGGAAAACCAAATCCATCCCAATAACAAGGACAAAATTAAGAAAAGCTAAAAATAAGAACATAAAAGGAATCTACCTGGGTTGCTGTCTCCCTTGTTCCAAAATGCAGGAGCAACCAAATGGCAATGCAAGCTTTGGGCAACACCAAGATTACTCCTCCCACAGCATGCAGCCAAAGTTTCCTTTGCATATGGAAAACCGAGAGACAAAGTTCTTTCATCCCTCTCTTGTGGTATGACTTATGAGTCAATTTCAATCGAAAAAAACCCATAATTGAAGATTACAAAATGATAGCTTTCCACTAATCCATGTCCTTTATACCCGAATCAAGAGAACAATCAACAGTAAAAGCCCAAACTCCATAAAACTCAAGACACTAACAGTTTCTCCATGACTAGTTCCTCTAAAGAGTGAGTTTAATAGAGATACACTAAATAATTGAGCATCAAGCACATAATGTCCATAGTAGAAAAATACTTGAAGCCAACCAACAGAACATGAGCATTGATTCAATTTGTCTGCATTGCTTCAGTATGATACTTCTCTAGATCAGCATCAAGATCTTCTGCAGAAACCTTCTCTCCACGGCCCCTTCCCCGTCCACGGCCTCCAGCAACCCCGGGTTGCCTACGAAATCCTCCACCCTGCCACTGTAAAATAAGAACATAAAGATTAAATAAGTTACTTAAGCCTATAAGTAACCAAAAACTATTTATAGCAGAAAAAATGAAATTGAACAAATGACCACCACACAAATACACCAAAATAAATGTAGGTTTGGTACCAATTTGTTATACAGTAGAAGCTAACAGACAGACAATTGCAAAATTTGATTATCACACTATTTTAAATAAAAAAACTAGAAATTTCAAATAAATTAATACTTAAGATGGGAATTTCAGCTCAAACTAATCCAAAGATAAAATGCAGATTTTGAAGCTTTCAGAAACGCTTGATAACTGAAAATATTGGCACTTAAAAGAATAAGCATAAGCATTGACAAAATCTAAACTATTGAATAAAACAAGGGTCATGTAACTTATAAAAAATCATACCCCCTTGGGACTGAATTTGAATTCCGAAGGCAACATTAGCAACTATAGGTGCAGCAGGGGTAGCAATGTTGTTCCCACAATCTCAATTTTCATCGGCTTCCCATCGAGCTGAACATCGTTGTATCTCTTGACTGCAGCTATAGCATCAGCTTTCCGTGAGAAAACAACTTCTGCTGTTCCCTGAGAGAAGGTTTTTTTGGTTCTAAATTACAATGTGTTTCAAAGCATTTCATAAGAAGTACCAGTTAATTCCAACCTCATTTAAATACCTTCGATCTACCAGTCCAATCATAATGAATTGCATATCGTTTCAGGTCGCCAACCTCAGAAAATAACTCCTGTACATGAACACACATACATTAGAAAGACAGCTAGAAACACTATAACAACAGAATATTGATTTTAACGATTTTTTTTGTTGTTGAAGTATTGCAAAGTCTAGCTAGACTTTATTCAAATATGTAAAAATTTCAAATTTAAAAAAGTTGCAAGTGTTCGCAAAAAGAAAAAAAAGCCCAGCCTAAACAGAATATAAATACTTTGCATTTACTACTAAAAAAGAACATAGCGGTAAACAATTAGTAAAAATACCTTGATGTCGTCGTTAGAAACTCCATAATCTAAATTAGAGATGTAGAGCTTCGTTCCAGTTTCTATTGCGGAGGCCCGACCAGCTTGTCCTTGGAACGCCGCTCCGTTATCCGAATACATGTCGTGCTGCCACGTCGTCTCCGGCGCCTGAACAAAATTAAACGAAATTAGTTGATAAAAGTTGAATAAAAACTAAAACATCAAACAAAAACACAGAGAAGCATAATAGATCTAAAACCCTAGCTAGGTACCATAGCGGCGGCATACGGTGCCGAGCGGCTACCTCCTCGGTTAGGAAAACGACGGACGGGACCAGCTCCAGATCCACGGCCTCGACCGCGGGGATTACCGGATCCCGATTTACTGTTACGCTTGATGAGGTCATCTAATGACATACCTAAACCACTTGACATGTTTTAATCTTCTTTTAGTTAGAACAAAGAAGAAAACACTTCAGAGAGATGGATTGAAGTACAGAGGGGAGAGAGACAGAGAGATGGAGGGAGCAGAGATAGGGTTCCGCCAAAAGGAAGAACAAAGAAGCTATTTGTATCAAAAAAATATTAAAGAAAAACAGCGCAAAATTAAGTCGGGTACTCACATGTATTTATGTTTGTAATTTATATGTATTAAAAACAATTATCAATTCGCTAAGTCGTGGTATAGTTGGTTATCACATCAATTTAACACACTAAGGTCTCCGATTCGAGTCCGGGCGATGCCAATGTATTTCCTTTTCAGTAGAAAGAGCTTGCTAGTATGGTGTTTTTGTGTAATTGGTTAACACGTAAGGCTTGCAATCTGTAGGTCACCAGTTTTGAGTCCTTTTGCCGTCAATATTTGTTTTGCTTTTCCTCTATTTGAATTTTCTAACTACAATAATTATATTTTTAACATGCCTGCATGCTTTTGATCGTAGTTGCTCTCATTGGAATCCACCGTCCGATCACTGGATCAAAATCAATAAAGATAGTGCCGTAGTGGATTGGATGTACAGATGGTGCCATCGTGGATTGGATGGTTACGCCTCTTGTGATGGCGTTGCTTGGGACAGTTCTAGTTCTTGGAGGTTTGTATTTAACAAATCTATTGGTATCTGCTCGGTGGTCATGCTGAGCTTGTCCTTTGTGGTGCTTATGTTGGTCTCTTGATGGCGAGGGAAGCGGGTTTTAAGCACATTGTCCACAAAATTGATAGCTCAGAAACTTTTCGGTTTCTTCGAAAACAATTACAATGGTCATCATCCTTTGAGCAAACATCTGTTCAAACTTTGGAACCGTCTTTAGATCGTTAAGGTTCAGAATGTTCGCCGTGATAGTAATAAAGTGACTGATGCTTTAGTGGGAACTTCGATTTCCAGTTTGGTGGAGCCGCCTCTGCAGGTTGACAACGCAAGCTTTTAAAGTTTTGGGTGCTGGTTTGTTTTGCTTTGGTAATGAGTATTAGATTGTTCGTTTTGCTTATGAATACTTAGATCATGTTTATTTTTCTTGGTATTATCATATGTACTCTTTTCCTCATACAAGGATATATATGTAAACCCTGTTTTATGCATAAATGGAATCTTATTAGTTGATGTTGATGTGAAAACAAGAAACAAAAAAGAAGAGCATGATTGGGTTGGTGCAAGCAGCAGCTGGTAAAGAGCTTGTAGAGTTGTTGGATGGGAGCCTCAACTTGCATCCGTCCAAGTTTCCGTATTTTCCTTTGTGTAGACTTTCTGTAGCAGTATTTTCCTTTTTTTAACCATCACTTTCCAGCCGTTAACCTCCATCCGTCCAAGTTTCCGTCTCGTGGTTCGCAAAAGCAACCTTATTCCTGAGAGAGAAAACGCATGGTCGGGTTGTATCATCAACGGTCAGCCTTATTCAATTTAGTATAGATCATAGATACGTGAAATGGAATTGTATAAACCTTCTATACAGTTCAAGAAGATCTCTGGATAGAGAAGTGGGCTTGCTCTGCTTGGTCACAGCCTAAAATAGAGAGAGCTTTGAGGAAATACATGTTTTCACAGTTCATAATTGTAAAGGACCAACTTCCTCTAGCAGAAAATAACTAATATTAAACCTGTTCGGATGTGGTGACCAAGCAATCTTCAGCTAGGTATCTCAGCCTCTTGCGTTTCCACCTAAAATTCAGAATCACTCATGGTGGTAATCACTACTAAATAGTGAAAACCTATTTTCCAATGACATGGAACCTCATAATCATCACACGTGTAGACACTCATTTTCGTCCGGGTCTACAAAAAATTTATATTATATTTTATTATTATTGTTATTATTATTATTATTATTAATATTTTTTATTTTTTTAATTATTTTTTGCAGGTCCATGTTCAACCTCTATTTCCAACAAATTACCCAAAAATGAAGGAAAATCTATTTTCCCCATCCATCCACTACCTAACAACAATTATCTTCCATCATTCCACAACGTCCATAACCTCAACTACCACCACACTCCCAGCAACGTCATTTCTTCTTGGCATTAAACAAATTCCAACCTCTCATTCTTCTCCTTTAAATTCTCCTGGGATTTGTCATTAAATGGGAGGGGGGACACAGGTGCGCTGGTACAAGCTGCTTTTTGCATGGCAATGTATCTTAACCTTGCACCATATCACCCATTGTCTTGGTTTACCGATCCCACGTACCACAAATGGGGATTCTGGAGGAAGCTGAGTTACAAGTATATGTCTGGCTTTACAATGCGGTGGAAATATTATTTCATCTGGTCTTATTATTATATCTGGCCTGGGTTTCAGTGGATGGACAGAATCTTCACCCCAAAACCAAAGTGGGATCGAGCAAAGGTTGTTGATATCCCAGGATTTGAGTTATCAAAGAGTTCAGTACTGTTACCATTTGTTTGGAACATACAAGTTAGTACCTGGCTTCGTCATTATGTTTATGAGAGACTTGTTAAGAAAGGAAGAAAGCCATGATGAGGTTGAACTGTGGTTCCCAAACGCTACCTTGTTTGTTCAATTTGAGGAGTTGCAGGAACTTGAACTGCCAGGGAATCATCTAGGAGGATTCGTTTCAACCCACGCATTCAGAGAACTGAAGTAACTTCAAAAGTTGGATCTCCGTGACAATTCCATAAACAATGGTTCTAATCTCTGTTGGGGTTAGGGGACGTGGAACAGCCTGGTAAAAGAAACATATTCGGCCATTAATGGTGGTGCAGATTCAGCTCCACAGATACTTGCATTGAAAGCTGAGGCCCTGTTAAACCATAAACACGAAGATGCTGATGAAACATTATTGGGAGGTGGATATGGTCGCCGACAGATTTGATGAAGCATTGGAGGCGATTCAACCAGCCGTCAAGTTTGACCCGAACATTTATCCTGAAGGGCGTGTTTGTATTTCAATTCTTCATCCTCCGAGTGGATCCAAATGGCTATGAGCTTGCACGTGAATGTTGGATGCCAGTCCATACATTTGAAAGTATTTTATTGAATATTATATCAATGTTTTCAAGCCCCACTGATGAATCTCCTGTAAATGTTGAATTGCTGTAAGTGATAGTTGAATTTATTTATTAATTTAATCATTTTCATTTTATTATGTATTTTTTCAATTCGTTGATTGATTGATTGATTAATTAATTTATTTCTCTTTTATTTAATTAATTTTTATTCGATGCTTTCTATTATATCATCTAACATATTTTTGAATTTTTTAGTAGTAATTTCAATCGATCATAGGTAATTAATTCAAATTGAATTTTTAAATTTTAATTTTAATTTTCTCAATTAAAGACAATCAATATATTAATTGATACCGAAAGGGCGGTTCAAGGGTGCTAATCCTTCCTTGACCGTAACCAACTCCCGAACCCGACACATTTTCTGGTAAAGCGCAGATCAGGTAAGAAATAGGGTATCTAATCAACCCATTTATTTTAAAATAAATGATAGGTGGCGACTCCAATTTGTTTAATCTAAGTCGAAGCCCAATTTCGACCCAACCGAAAGACGGTTTCGACAGCTTGGCGACTCCGCTGGGGACATGTAAGTGAGTCAGGCCAAAATTAATTTTAGGTTGTCTTTTTATGCGAAAATAGTAAATTTAAAATTTAATTTATTCATTCGATTCCAATTATTTACCTTTGATTATTTTCAAATAAATAGTTGTACTGACATTTTTTTCAATGATTTCATATTTTTTAAAATTTTTATCTTAGGCTTTATACTCGAGCTCTAAACTCTTTTTAAGTGGGGTGAAAACGATGCCTTCGTGGGAATTTATTCTCCGTATGGGCCTAGCAAGTAACCTTCGGGATTCATACACCTTATGCATTCGTGTGAATTTATTCTTCGTATGGACATAAGGGAATGTTTCCTCTCGAGCTTAACTTAGTCCACACAAGCTTGTAATGGGCTTAGGACTATGGGTCTGGCAAGCCCAAGGGGGCGCCAGCAAGGAGAACTCGAGTACCTTCTTTAGAACCTAAACCGGGAGAATACAGGGAATTAGAGTCCACCCCAAAGCCTCATTTCAAACCCTAGGTTGTTTTGTTTCCTGCTTTACTTTATGTTCAAAGCATGCGAACTAGACAAATATGCGGTTATGATTTGTTTGAAATTAGCATGCGGAATAGAGATCATGTTCGGGTAGGAATAATAAGCATGTGGGGTAGATATCATGTGGGGTAGGACTTTTATTTTCAAGATTATTTTTTATCATTTTCACCTCACTAACTCTTTTCATTTTTTCTTTTCTTTTATTTTATTTTCAACACTTGCATCATTTAAAAGATGTGTTGATCCACCAAAAACGTGTTTGTTAAACATGAATAATCTGCATTAATGGACAAAGGGGTTGTAATACAACAGATGAAAATGTAGAAGACAGACTACAAGGCAACTATGTGTCATATTCAATCCAGAAGACGTGGTGCCCACAATTTCTACTGTATTATAAAGGACTCAGAATGAAACCGAGTCTACATCAAGCACAATGAAAGTCTATCTTTGAAGAACTGACTGGCAGAGGTTGCAGGGGCAAGATGAAGGTTATTGATCTTGGGAGTCCCTTCAAAGACAACAATGGCAAAACGATAGCTGAAATTGGAGACCATTGCTGACGAATTCAAGAAACAGACAAACGAACTTCACATAGTTTCTATCAATTGATGGCTCAAATGACGTATTCGTTGGGAACAGGTTCAACAAAAGATAAATGCCAGAGATGCAGTCATTCGAGACTTCTTGGGCCAGTATAAAAAGCAACTCAGCATTTGCACAGTCCATCCAGAGAAGCCAGAGCGGTTCGACAGGTTATTCAACCTGTGACAGACGAAGGCAGAAGACTATTCAAAATGTCAGAAGCTGTCAGGATATTTGTCTCTTAAAAGATAAAACACTTTTATCCCCAATGAGGATTATTTATAATAACAGTCACATTTTTGGATCAATACCTTGAACATTGTATGCATCATGCATTCCTGCATATTTCGTATAATTTTTCTCTCTTTTTATTACATTCACATGTCTCATAAAAAATGGGAACATTTCGATTCTATTCCCAATATTTACAAGGAATTTTACAAACAACTTATGACACCCATGTAGTGTCACCATATCTGGTAGAACCCATGAAGCCCTCATACCCCAAGTGGTATGATGAGTATGCTCATTGTGAATATCACGACGGTGTCCCAGGGCACACAATTGAGAACTGTTACGCATTCAAGAGAGTCATACAGAAGATGCGTAACCAGAACTGGATCGACTTCAACAACTTGGGGGCATCCAAGTGAGGAAAATCATTTCATCATTTGAGGCATTCTGTTTGAATTTTTTTCTTTCTTTTTCTTTTTTCTTCTTCTCAAGTTTTTGTAAAGACTTTTAAAGAAATTTATGTTACTTTAAAGATGCTGAGCAATGAATCACATTTGCAAACTTGCAATTCTTTGAATATCATTTGAATTAAAAAACTCTGTAAATGGTTCAAAGTTATAGATCTTTGACGAAGTAACATGATTTAAAACAAGGACTTTGACCTTACCCAGAATATACCAAACACCGTACACTGCTCTTGCAATTAACCAATATATCATTTTCCTTTCATAAGGTGCGGACAACATGGGGCATCCTTTTGCATATGACATTATTATGCTTTTTATTTAAAACGCTCAGTGATGATAATGATCTTCACAGATGGAATAGCCGAGTAATCAAATCTAGTTTATGTCAGTTGTTTGGGAAATTGAACTCTAAAGATGAAATTCCTTGACTTTCAACAACACCTAGACTATAACAGGTTCTTCTTGACAATCTTAAGAAATTAAATCCGTAAAGCTGAGCTATTCCACTAAGGCAATTGGTTATAGATGAAACTTGAAAGCCCTGACCTTATGAATAGATTATATTCAAACCATGACATTGCTCGAACACTTGGCAATTCAGTGTTTGCTCCACTACTATTATCCGACCGAAGACTTTGTGATGAGATGAACCCTTCAGTTAACTTGATAAGAGTGATTATAATGTTAAGATGTCCCTCTAAAGCAATTGGTTAAACGTCCCAGCTTTATGGATTCAGCTAGCCATATAACGGAAAATTAAATCAAATTTATCTAAGCATGAAGTTTCGATAAAATGGACTAAGGGAGTTAAGGAACACCTGTTATAGTCAATTTCACACGAGCACTCAAGAATTTCATTTTTAGACGATATTTCTGCACTACCTTTGTTAGAGGAGCTTACAAAACTTGAACAAATAGAAGATTTCAGAGAACCGAAATAGAAGGTCTAGTAATTGATCATGCTAGTTGTGTCATTTTGTCCGCACCCAATTAAAATGCCAAGCCAAAGGAAAACATATTGCAATAACTGAAAAATAACCTTTTCATGGCTGAAACCTTAGGTCAACCTAAAATCAACTCATCCATTTGAACATTTGTCAAAGAGCTATAACTCTAAAAGCATTAAAAAGAGCTATTGATTCCTTTGATATACTTTGAACTCATGTTTACAATTTGATTCAATTGCGAGTCTGAATTAAGGAACAATATTTTCTAGAATTTTTATCTTTTTCCCTCCTAAAACAAGAAAAAAGAGAAAAACATTTTCAAACAGAACATTCTCAGATATAAAAGATTTGTAAAGCCAAAGCCCGAGAACCAAATGGGGTACGATCGATTCCAAAGACCAGATTGGCAGACAAAACATGAGACTCCAATCCAAGAGCTAAAATATAACTCATTCATGTTGCATGCATCTTAGACATACTAAAGAGCATCACATATATCATTTTTAGCACACATAATTTTTTACAGCTTTTAGAGTTAAATTTTAACTTTAAGATGAAAGATACTCAATTCAAAAGCGCATTCGAAAATTGATGGTGGTTGCTCAACTTCACAGCGAAGGAACGATTGTCAACAAACAACTTTTTAGTTTTATTCAGAGTCAATTTCAACTTAACAACGAATGATATTGGACTCGAGACAACACAAGCTCAACTTCACAGCGAAGGGGCGACTGACTGTCAACAAAAGCTTTTCAGTTTCATTCAGAGTCAATTTCAACTTCACAGCAAAGGGGCGACTGACTATCAACAAAAACTTTTCAGTTTCATTCATAGTCAATTTTAACTTCAAATCGAAAGATATTTGACTCGAGACAACACAAGCTCAACTTCACAACGAAGGGGCGACTGACTGTCAACAAACGACTTTTTCAGTTTCATTCAGAGTCAATTTCAACTTCACAGCGAAGGATATTGGACTCGAAACAACACAAGCTCAACTTCACTGCGAAGGAGCGCCTGGCTGTCAACAAACAACTTTCCAGTTTCAAAGTCAATTTCAACTTCACGGCGAAGGATATTGGCCTCGAAACAACACAAATATTTGGATTTCAACTTCATGACGAAGGATATCCAATTCGAGGCTCAACTTCACAACGAATGGACCATCCACGGTTTCAACTTCACGACGAAGGGAATCGTGCC